AACTAAAAATCCAGTAATGCACTCTAGGACTAAACATATTGAGATTAGACATCACTTTTTAAGAGATAATATCGACAAAGGAAGCTGTAAGATAGAGTATGTAGACATTAAACGTCAATTAGCGAGATATATTTACTAAGCCTCTACCCAAGGATAGATTCTATGATCTTAGAAGAGACTTAGGGATACTAGAAATAGCTTAAATTGCGCTTAATTTGACTTGTTTTTGGATGATTGTTATGATTAAATTCGTGATGCGAGGATATTCATAGGTTATAATGTGTAAAAACCTTAAAAACTTGATATAGCCTCCGGAATAATCGATTACTTGGAAGTGATAATCGATTATTTTTTCTCAAAACGTCCAAAACAGGGTATTCTCCTCTGGAATAATCGATTATCTCGTGAAATAATCGATTAAATGCCTCGATAATCGATTATTTACTTGGAAATAATCGATTAAAGTCGTATCGATGTAGAGATAATTGATGTATTTTCTTTTGTTATTGTCTTGATGTTGTAAAATATGATGTTTCTTTCATGCTATGATTGAGGGGGAGCTTTCTCTAACTTATGCATATTTTGAGGGGAGCTCTTATGATTGATGTTGCAGAGTTCTTTTTGATTATAATCAAAATAGGGGAGAAAAATTTAAAGCCTATGATTCAATTTTAAATTTTATCTGGTATGTTTAATGTGGTTGTTAGTATGACGGATAAAACGAGGTTATTACAAGGGCTTTAAAAGATAATTTTGATCATCATCAAAAAGGGGAGATTGTTGAACATTCAAGGACTTGATGTTGCAAATAATGATCATGAAGAATGTTGATTTTGATGATGATCCAAGAGCTTAAAGACTTAGAGTATTGAAGATTGAAGATTGATGATTTACGTATTGTAATAACTCTGTTTTAGTTTGATTGAGTCTGTAATTATAGAGTCTAAGATAGCCGGTACATAGTCACGTAACTTAGAAGCTTCAAAATGCTCAAATTTATCATGCGAGCTCGGCTTTAATCGATTATATAGGTAAATAATCGATTAAAAGCAGATGAGAAAACCACTTTCTATACTAAGTCACTTGTTTTAATCGATTAAAAAGCAAAATAATCGATTATTTCGTACTGGTTCAGTACTGAGATAATCGATTATTTCACCAAATAATCGATTAAACCAGAGAGGATTGGGTTCGACGTATTTGGCTCTGTTTTAATCGATTAAAACTCCATTTAATCGATTATTTCGATCTGTTTCGATTTTAAACTTCAAACAAACCCTATTTTCGAAAACCCAATTACCAAGAACCCTAGTTTCGAAATCCCCAATTCCTAAACCCTAATTTCCCTACTTAAACTCTGCTTTGGCACTCAAAAAAGGAGAACAACTCTTTCCATACAAAAGTTAAGTGTTGTGAGTGCCGAGAAGCTGTTTGTTGCAAGGAAAGGGGGCTTTTGGAACTCGGTGTGAGGCTAGAAGCGATAAGAATCACTAAGTGGAGTTCTTAGTGGATTGTGTGTTGTTCCGTCTCTGGGGAAAGCTGTTCTTCAACTCTTGTGGGTTTCAAGAGAGGTGTTATCTTTAACTTTATCTTTTCCATTGTAATTTGTTTTGTAACAATTTGTTCTTAGTGACAGCGTTAATCCTCTTTTGAGTGATTAGCAACTGGACGTAGGGTCTTTTGATCCGAACCAGTATAAACCTACTGTGTAATCTTCTCTACTCTTCTCTATTTACATTTACGCAGTTTTTAATCGGTAAAATTTGGGGAAAATTTTGAAAACCTAATTTTTATTAAGAAACCAATTCACCCCCCCTCTTGGTTTTTGTCCGACCACGCGAACATTCCGCTGCGCGATTCTAACAATATGGTGACTAATATTGTTCATGTCTTGGCTCCCCAAACATATGGTCATACACTTTCATGACGACATCCGACCTATAGTGGGGACTGATGTACATGTTGAAGTCATGATGGACATGTTTGCAAGCTGCTAACACATGAGAACACGGTATATAAATTTTTTGAAACTTCCCACAATCACATCATTGTTCATCCAACCTAACAAAAAATGTACTCAGATGACGTATTTTTCTTAGGTTGACAATTTCCTCCACCCTGAATCTTGTCGTATTTCTATCAAATTCAACCACCCTGTGGGTATTTGATTTTGAATCACCATCTTGTAGGACCTTGGTGGCATTTTCAGAATAGATATGACCCGCACTTTTCATTGCAGTTATGTGCTTTCCTCTTTCTGTGAAAAAGATGTTGCATTTGGTATATGTGGTCAATATTATGGAGGAGATTGGTAGATTTCTTGTTTTCTTCAAGACTGAGTTGATAGCTTCGACCAGATTAGTTGTGAGGTGACCCCATCTTCTGCCTTCATCATACGCAAGTGCCCATTGATGTCTCGGAATTTGGTCAATCCAAGTTGCTACTTCCGGGTTTTCTTCCCTTATGACATTGTAATTATAGTTACATCTTGGCTCAGTCATTACGTATGCTGCAAATATAATTATAAAGTAATACTCATTAAATATGACAAAGAATAATGGAAAATCATACATAATTGAATAAAATTTTGAAATTTTAAGTACTTACCCATGTTCACAAGGTCATTCTTCATAGTTGTATTTTTGAATCTTTGAGTGAAATTTTGTGCAATGTGTCGAATGCAAAACACATGCACACAATTTCCTTGAGTCCATCCACTTCTCATTCTATTAAATGTTGCACTGATGAATTTATGGCGATCCGAAATTAAGCATAGGTTTTCTTGAGGTGTAACGTGCCTCCTAAGATTTGTAAGGAAGAAAAACCAAACTTCTGTTGTTTCACCTTTAACAATAGCAAAACTAATAGGGAGTATATTGTTCCTTTCATCTTGTGCTACAATCACTAGAAGAGTGCCCCTATATCTCCCGTAGAGAAAGGTTCTGTCCACTTGCACTAATGGTTTGCAATAGGAAAATCCATCAACACATGGTTTGAAGGTCCAAAATACTCTTTTGAAATATTTTTCATTTTGTAGGACCTCCTTGCCATCAGTTATGACCTGAGTTTTGAGTTGGTATACGAAACCAAGAAGAAATGTTTATATTGCTTGTAGGACCCGTGACAATTTGTTGAATGATTCTTTCCAATTTCCGTACACATGTTCAATTGCTTGTTTCTTGGCCAACCAAGCCTTTCTATAAGTTGTTGTGTAGCCCAGTGAGGTCTTGATGGAAGCAATGATTGTTGCAATTGGTGTTGATGGGTCAGATTCGACCATCTCACGAATGTGTTGGGAAATGATACGTGACTCCAACCTGTTATGATCTTGTGTAATGAGTTGTGTGGCACATGTGTGAGACCCTTCAATTTTTCTTATTTTTCATAATATCTTGTTCGAAGGATGACTTAACACTTCCACAGACATTGATGGTGGACACATTGCACCCTCAGCCTTGTTGTGTTGGAGTGTGTCATTTTGTATGTGCAATGGTTTGTGATAAGAAATGTGTTTAAAGCATTTATGACTTGTTCCTTTGTTTGGAACCTCATGCTCTGGGTTAATGTATTAGGTTCATGCTCGAATGTGTCATGTTGAATATTAAAGTGGTCGTATGCATGAGGATATTGTTGGTCTACATGTTGGGAAAATTCTTCATAGGACTGGAAGTATTGGGACGGGTTGTATTGAAGAGATAAATGAGGTTGTTGTTGTATAGGAGGAATATCTATGTTTTCTTCTTCATCATCTGCGTGTTGACTAAGGATGTCATCATCATCCTCACTAAATGGGTCTAATATGACAAATGTATGCCTAATGTTTCGTTTTCTTGTAGAGGAGGAGAGGAGAATTGTTGTGTGTCCACATATATAGGAGATGGGAGAAGTTGTGAGGTCGATGGACCGGTCAAGTGTCGGGTGTATGATTGTATGTTATTTTCCCATTCCCCTATATATGTGGGGTTAAGGTCAAATGACTGATGTGTGGGTTGGGTTTGTAAGGGTTGTTGATGTTCATGAGAATGATAAAAATAATTGGGTTGGGAAGATGAAATACTTATGTTATAAGTCGTGCAAATTTTCAAGGATCTCAAAGTTGGGTTGGCCTCTGTGAGGTCCATGGCTTCATCTGAGTCATCGTCATCTTCAATCTTTGTTATTGTGTAAGTCACATGTCTGCCACAAATTTGTGTTGGAAATCTGAAATGGAGGACTAGAGGTGGATTGGTTGGATCTCTCTTCACTCGTTGCAATACTATCTCTATTAATTACGAAAATGTGAAACCTTTATGAAGTTGAACCATGATACAGGTGTTAGACTTAAACAAAACACCATTTTCTGGGTTAGGAATCATGTCACCATTATCATAGATGCATGCAAACATCTTTGGTGCCATTTGAGGAGGAATAAGATTATAATGAGTGGTAGCAAAGAAAAATTTTGAATAACTATGGTTTGAAATTTGTGGTAAGGTCCCTCTTTTATAGCCAAAAGTTAGGTAATAATGTGACCCGCACATTAACCAACGTGATCATGTAACCCGAACCACACCTTATGTCATAATGTGACTTAGATATTTCTTTGTGTGATCATTTGACTTACACATAACTTTACATCATCGTGTTAATACGATTTTTTTTATACAATGATAAAAATAAATAAGATTAATTGAATTAACATAAATGATAATATTAGATGGATTGAAATACTCGTTACACATGACAAGAAGAGTGATAACATAAGACTCATGGAATTTTCAGAAATCAAGATACATGATCATCTATCTAAGTTTAGTGACTAGTTGAAGTTATTAGTCAAATCATAATAAACTTCGGACGGGGTTGCACTTTGGTGCATTTTTGTAATAAATGTCATGATCTCAACATGAACTTTTGTAACCTGTTTTGTCGCCATTAAAAACAATGCTTTGATGTTGCCATCTACAAATATCTTACATGATCTATAATGTGCAGTGGTGGCAGATATGAAAATTGGTAACCTGTATTGTAAGTCGACTTCATATTCATTTACTGTTGACATGTTGAAGTGGTTGAGAATAGTTTGCTTCACTTCAACCATAGTCATTGTGTTTGTTATGGTCACCCAAGCCGTTTGAGAGCTAATGTATGTTTCAAAGTAGTTTTCTTCTGTTAAGATGGTGTCGTTGAAGTACACCAGCACTGTGAAAGTTGTAGATGTCATTGTTGGTTGCAGTACCTTGTCACTGAGTTGATTGGTCGAACAACCTATAAGTTGCTCTATTTATAGGACAATTGTTCACTTGGGCCAACAACAATGATAATTCCACATATGAAATCTAATGACTAAGAATGAATTTGTGGAGATGAACGCATATGATTTAGATCCACACTACACAAGGTCTGACCACCATGAATGACGCGTGAAGGCTTTAGTCCATGTGACAAAGTGTTTCAACTTTAATCTGAGGGTTGGAATTAAATATGTGGAGATGAACGCACATCATTTAAATTCACACTGCACAAGGTCTGACAGGATTTTATTAAAGCATGGTCGTATCATTATGACTGAGCAGTATGCCTTATGTAGTGGATCTAAATCCTGTGCATTCAATTTTTGTGCTTTCAATTACAGCTGTTAACTAAAAAAATGTACATTGCCCATTATGACACTATAAATAATAGTGGTATTGTGTCATACCATAACTCCCCAAAGCTGATGACTATTACCATGCATTGACTCATTTACTCTCTCAATCAATGCTCTCACATGCACCCTGCTCTCATGGACAACCATCAAAGATAGCCCACACTGAGGTTTAACCACCATCAATAACGCGTGCAAGCTTTAGTCCTTGTCACAAAGTACATCAACTTTAATCGGAGGGTTCAAATTGAATCTATGGAGATTAACGCACAGGATTTAGATCCACATTGCACGTGGTCCGACAATATTTTATTAAGCGTGCAATTTTTTAGTCTATATATTTGTTAAGGCGAAGTTCAATAACCACACTTACGGTCATTATAATCATATACTACAATTTTTGCAAAAGTGTTAGTCAAGATTGAAGAAAGAAGGTTAACAAAATATTGTTGTGGAGACAACAAGAACACAGAGTTGCCTACACTACTTTGATGATATGTTAGTTCTATTGTTATTATTGTTCAAGTTATTTTTTTCTCATTAAACAATGTTATTTTTTGGCTATAGAGGACGCAAAACAAAGTATTATGTTGTCGTACTGTCATTCCATGTCGGAACCACATCCTCTTCTTCTTCCTGTAATAGAAGAAGTTGGATTCAGCGGTGTTGTTAAATTAAGACATTTAAAGGTAGATCATGCTTTAGTTACAACTTTGGTGGAGACGTGGAGGCTTGAGACACATACTTTTCATCTGCCAACAAGAGAATGCACAATAACATTGCAAGATGTTTCACTTCAATTAGGGCTTAGAATTGATGGTCCACCTATGATTGGACCAACGATGTTTGATTGGGAGGACATGTATCATACGTTATTAGGTATTATCCCTACAAAGGGGAAGTCCCTGATAGGGTCTATGGTGAAGTTAAAGTGGCTTAAGGAAAATATGGTCTCACTACAAGAGGAATCAAATATAGAGGAAATACATGTCCATGCAAGGACATATATATTAGAATTTATGGGAGGGATTTTAATGCCTAATAAAATTGATAATAAGGTACATTTAATGTACTTGAAATTTTTAAGTAATCTTTGCAGAACTCGACGATATAGTTGGGGTTCTGCTTGTTTAGTTGTATTGTACAAGGAGATGTGTAGAGCAACAGATCGGCATGCAAAGACCATGGGTGGATGTGCATTGTTATTACAGTCCTGGGCATGGTTTCGTATGTCCTTTATTGCACCAATTTCATAGACTCAATTGAAGTTCCCCCTTGTATGTCAATGGAGCGGGGGTCGTGTACTGAACTATCAAAATATCCCCCACAATTGATTTACTTGGCTACCGATCAAGGATAGACCACATTGAACCTAACCAGGTTCACTTCTATTTTTAACTTCACTTTTTAATGTTCATAATTTACTAAGTTTCTCACTTTAGTATTGGTGACATAGTTTATATGGGTTCCGTATGAGGGATTGGAGTCAATCATTCTTGCCAAAGTATACAATGACCAAGCATTGTGGACATCTTGCATAAGTTTACTTTGTTTTTCAATTATTGAATGGAACCAGTCAGATAGGGTGAAGTTACAATTTCGTTTGGTACAAGATGTTCCTGACTCACCCAACAACCTAGATGACCTACATAACGTACACATGAGGGGGAGACAAGATGAGAATTGGGCTACTAGACATTCAGAATGGATAGACGTATGGAAGAACATGTGTCATCTGACATTGACTGGATTACCACTTTTAGGGCCACTTTTCCACAGTAGTGAGTATATGTTGTGGTTTGTGGCAAACTCATTTTTGTTTTTGTCTGTTCCACAAATGTTACATGACCCTACGATACATCGGGCATCGACTTCAACACATGCACAACCTTCTCAACATGATGACATTGAGCACAATTACAACACTCTAGAAGCAGAAGGAACTATGGATACAAGAAGGCATTCAATTTCTTCCTTCTCTGATTTAGGAATGTCAAGCATTTTTGGAGCGTATGTCCCAACTCCACCTTCGACACAGGGTTTCGAATGACCTTATCAACAATCCCCTTATAATGTCCAATATCATAATAAAACGGTGTCATCCTCTGACGCATATCAAGGTCATGAAGATGCAGAGCATCATGAAACCCAACCTTTAGAGGAGGAAGAAGCACCTAGACCGCCCCTGGAAAGGAGGAACCCAACTAGGAACAGAAGGCGACCCCAATGTGAAATTGGACACCATTATGGGAATTAAATAACAAAAAATTTAGTTTTAGTGTTTGAACTATTGTTATTTAGCTACCTTATGTTGGGTTTGTAATATAAACTTTGCAAATGATGAATAAAAAACCTACAAATTCAAAAAATTTATATCTTAATAACTTACAAATACAATAAATTATTATCTTAATAACTTACACATTCAATTAAATTATTATCTTAATAACTTACACATTCAATAAACTATTATTATGCATTGACTCATTCACTCTCTTAATCAATGTTCTCACATGCACCAAGCCACTAAGACAATACCTATCAACTTTATTGGGTAGTTGTGCCAAGGGAGATATTAATTATTCCTACTACAAAAACTGATGACTATTACTATACATTGACTCATTTACTCTCTTAATCAATGTCTTCACATACACCATGCCATTAAGACAAGACATATCAACTTTATTTGGTAAGTGTGTCTACGAGGGAGATATGAACTATTCCTACAGCAAAAGCTAATGACTATTAGCATGCATTGACTCATTCACTCTCTCAATTAATGCCCTCACATGTACCATGCCACTAATAGAAGACCTATCACCTCTATTTGGTAAGCGTGCCTAGGAAGATATGAACTTGTACTATACTTAAAGCTGATGGATGATGTCCTCCTAATTTCAATTCATGCCAACACCCAAATTTACTTTTCCTATAAATATCAATACTTCAAATTCTTAAATTCTTAAAAGAATTTAAATTCATATTAGTAAATTACATTACACTTATATATTTTTTTATTTCTTAAACATACAACTTTTTTTAACTATAATTTAAAACATATTAGAATTAATCTAATAAACATATAACTTTATTAAAACTATAATTTCAAACTCCATAACTTTTAAATACAAAATTATAGTTTTACATATATTTTTTATTCACAAATTTTTTATTTAATGTAAAAAGGATTTCAAAAATATTAATACATTATTTTTCCTATCTTATAATTTATTTTCATTTCTAAAATATAAAACATATATATATATATATATATATATATATTCCAAAATATTACAAAACATAAAAAAAAAATACATTTCAAAAATATAATTTTACATAAAAATATTATTTTATCTTATATACATATAATTTTTAAGATTTTTATCATCTTCCTAATTTATTATTAATTTCTAAAAAAATATTACAATATAAAAAAAATCAAAGAATTAAAAAAAATCATACAAATAAAATATAAATATAATATTTAATAATATATTTTAAAAATATTATTTTACTACTTTCAATAATAAATTTAAATATATAAAAATTTTAAAACTATAATTTAAAACTATAAATTTAAATAAAACATTATAATATTATATATATATATATATATATATATATATATTTGTTTCATTTAATATATATTTAAAAAATTAATCGATGTTTTTTAATTATTCAATTATAATCTATTAATTTTTTTAATAATCGAATATTTTTTTTAAATAATTGATTATATTCAATTAAGTTTTCAAATAATCGATTAATTTTTTAAATATATATTAAATAATTACAAATAAAAATATATATTAAATTAAAATTAAAAACATTATTTATAAATTATATATATTATATAAATTATAATTATAAAATTAAAAAAAAATTATATTTAAATTTATAATTTTAAAAAAATTATATTTAAATTTGTAATTTAAAAAAAATTATAATTATAAAATTAATAAAAATAAAATTACTTTTAATGATAAATAAATTATATATTATATAAATTATAATTATATATATATTATATAAATTAAAATTACATATATGAAATTCAAATTAATTAATTATATATATATATATATATATATATTTTACATAAATTAAAATAATAATTATCAACTTAAAAATAAATTATATTTAAAATTATAATATATATATATATATATATATATATATATATTTTAAAATATTACAAAATATGAAAAAAAATACATTTTAAAAATATAATTTTACATAAAAATATTATTTTATCTCACACACACACATATATATATATATATATATATATATATATATATATATATATATATATAATTTTTAAAATTTTTATTATTCTCTTAATTTATTATTAATTTCTAAAAAAATATTACAATATTAAATAAATCAAAAAAGTTAAAAAAATAATTATACAAATAAAATATAAATATAATATTTAATAATATATTTTAAAAATATTATTTTACTGTTTTTATTAATAAATTTAAATATATTATTAATCTAATAAATATATAAATCTTTTAAAAATTATAATTTAAAATTATAAAATTTAAATAAAATATTATAATATATATATATATATATATATATATATATATATATTTTGTTAAATTTTTTTCTTTAAAAAGAATTAATTTAAAATTTGATTACCTGATAACCAAATTTTAAATGGTTGAAAAAAAAAGCATGTAACTACGGTCAAGTATTAAAGAGTGGAATTCTAAACTTAGCTACGTGAATTGGTTCTACAACAAGAACGTGAATTCGGAACTCCAACTCTTGCTTCTCAAGATTCCATTACCAATGTCAGTTTTCAAGATAATTCTAATAAGATTGTTCGAGACGGATCTTCCACGAATGCCCCAAGTGAATTCCAAAATATTATGAATGATATTTTAATATCTTACATAAAATTCTCAATTATATACTTAGATGATATACTAATATTTTCAAAAAACATAACAGAACATACTAATCATTTAGATATATTTATAAAATTAATGAAAGAAAATGGGTTAGTAATATTAGCTAAGAAAATAAAAATATTTCAAACAAAAATAAGATTTTTAGATATGAAATTTATCAGAATACTATAGTACCTATACAAAGATCTTTAGAATTTGCAGAAAAATTTCCTAATGAAATAAAAGATAAAAACCAATTACAAAGGTTTTTAGGATGTGTAAACTATATAGCAGATTTTATTCCTAATATTAGGATAGTATGCGCACCAGCCTCCGAAGAATATTTAGAAAAACCTAAAACTATTCCCATTATTATGCTAGAAAAGTCTTGAATTTATGATAATGTTAGAAAAATAACTAATCATCTTTTCCCAAAAGATTTCCATTATCCAGCCATAAGCCCAGAAAAAACCAGAACTTTCTATGAGTTTATTCTAGTAGATACCGATTCTGCTGAGATCTATCATACCAGAGACAGCCAGAACAATATTTTGTTTTCAAAAATAAAAATCCTCAAAAATAAAAATCCTCAAAATATTAGGTTAAGAAATAATTCATATCACTTCTTCTTTTTCTTTTTGTCTTGTTCTTCTAATCAAACATTTCAAAGGGATTTGCTTGAGTGCTTTCTTCAGAATCTGCTTTTGACGTGGCTGATTTTTCTCTAATTATCTGTTCAAAGTCTTTCATGGATGTTGCGACTGCTAACTCTGCCATTAATTTTTGCTTTTCTGCTAAGAATAACGATTCTTAGGTTAAAGCTTGACTGATACTTGCTCCTTCTCTTCTTTGTCGATGATTCTCTTGCCATTTGTCTATATTTGCTTTAGTTATCAATTCAGTGTTAAACTTTTGCCACCATTTAATCTTGAATCTTCTGGATAATTGTTTGATATCTACATTTTCATAAGCGGGTTCTATCTCATAATCCCAAGCTACTATCCATGTGATAGATTGAGTAGCTATGAATGAAATTAACCTATATCCGGAGTCAAAGGATGTTTTCTCTCTAAAATACTAATATACCTCATAAACTTCTGGAGGAACTGGAGGAAATATTGTTGGGAGAGGTCCAAAATATGTGAACCATTTGATAAACCATTTTGGAAATTTCAAAGATATACCTCTTTTGAACCATATGAACCATAAATGAGTTCCTGGGTTTACTAATAAAGTTTTGGTCCAGGCTTCTATATAATCATAATAATTATAGGACTGAGGAATAAAGGTTCTAGAAAAGTTATTACTTTCATGGATAGGCTGTTTCCAATCTTCTGGTAATAAAATTTTATGTAAGGTATTAAAATATCATTCATAATATTTTGGAATTCACTTGGGGCATTTTTTAAGCCTTGAGGCATTACGTTCTATTCGTAATGTCCAAAAGGCACTACAAAAGCAGTTTTATATTTATCTTCTTCTTTTACTGAGATTTGATAATATCCTAATTTTAAATCAAATTTAGAGAATATTGTAGCATCATGTACTCTTTTAATTAGATCATTTTTATTTGGTAATGGATATCGTATCCATCTTAATACTTTATTTAGAGGTTTATAATTAATTACTAATCTTGGGGCTCCTCTTTCTATTTCTGAAGCCTTCATTACATAAAACCATGTACAACTCCAGGGTGATTTTGATGGTCTAATTAATCCTTTATCTAAATATTCCTGCATTTCTTTTTTACAATATTCTAAGTATTCTTGACTCATTTGTACTCGGCCTAGATTTTGTGGGTATTTGTTTTTCATCAAAATTATCTATATATGGTAATTCTATGGTATATTTTTTTCTATGCCGGAAAGTAGTAGGGTTTAACTCACATATTTCTTTTTCTATTTTTTCTTGATATTCTTTTATAATTTTTTTAATATTTTGATTTTCTAATTGTTCTTTTATTCTTTTAAATTTTATTTCTTTATTTAACATATTAATTTGTTTTTTCTTTACTTCTACTTGACTTACAGAGGATTCTTTTAATAAATTTAATTCTCTAGTTTTAGGAGGCTTTATAAATTCAAAACAAATTTCTTTATTTAGAATACTTGATTTTTAAACCTAATTCGAGTTACTTGAAAAGGATATAATAATGTTAGAAATGGTGTTCCTAATATTACTTGGAGTGTTCATATTTCTTATTAATACAAAAGAAGTATTATAACAAATTTTATCTTTACATATTTTTACATTTGATAACTTATATTGAATATGCATTTTAGATCCATTAGCGCTAGTTACTTTTTCTAAAGTTTTCTCATAATATTTTGTAGGTATTAAACCTTCTTGAATACGAGTTTACATCCGCTCCCGAATCTACTAAAGCTATAGTTTTAAATTTTTCCTCTTTTATTACTAATGTTATTTCTACGTGCCATTTATGGGTAGTCATCGATTTAATAAACTAATATATTGTTCATCTTTTATATCTTCAATTTTACTAGTACTTGCCTCATTATTCTCTTAATTTTTTATTATATTTTTACCTTCTAATTCTAATAATTTATATTCTAGAGATATATCATTTTCTTTTAGTAATTTTATTTCTTGTTTTAAAGTTTTTATTTCTTCTTGTAAATCTTTTATGGTTATTTGTTGACTTGGACTTTTAAACCTATTATAAATTTTTTTCATACTTATGGGAGTTATGGTTTTCTGGACTTCTTCACTACGAGTTATTAAGCTACTTAACTGTTGTAAAAATTCAGTCTTTAATGGTGATTCTTCTAATTTATCAATTATAGAAATTAGAGTAGATGTTTGATCTTTTGTTAGCATATTTATATTTTTACAATCTGAACAATTACATAATTCTGGGCCTAAACAATAATTATCTTCTGATAATTTTTCCTCTTCACTAGAAGTTTGTTCTATTTGTTCTAATTCTAAGTCATTATCTCGTACTTTCTATAGTACTATCAGATTCTTCTTCTTCGAATTTATTAGAATATTTAATAAATTTTCTTTTAATTTTTCATCCTCTAATTGGTTTATCTTTTTTATAACTTTACAATTATTAGCATAATGACCTGGTTTTCCACATTTCCAACATACATTCTTTTTCTTATTGGGTTTATTATATTTGGGTTTTCTTGTCCATTTAGTCTTGTTTTCTATATTTTTATTTTCTATTTCTTGAAATTTTTTATACGGTTTTTTGTAAGGTTTTTTATATGTTTTTTCTTGTCGTTTAATTACTTTCTTTTTTCTAGCACTAGGGGCTCTTATTGGTTCCATACTATACTGATAACAAAAATTTCCTATCTCTCTTTTGTTAATCATACTTTCTTTTCTAAGTTTATTTTGTAGTTTAAAATCAGTACAAACTTGTACTCCTGTTTCTACAATTATATTATGTATTTGACCATAAGTTGCGGTATCATAAGATAAAGGTTTACCATAATGGTTTTCTAGATTTAATTTTACCTTTTCTGAAAATAATTTAGGTAATCCTGCTAAAAATCTTTCTTTCCAGAATCCTGCAAACCCATCTTCTCTTAGGGTTATTTTTGATAAAAAATTATCTTTATACCATCTATAATCAGACATTGTTGGACAGTATAGGTTTGCTAATTGATTAACTGATCTTTCTTTAAAAATATTGGGATCTCCTACAAAATTTTGTATAATTGAATATATTAATGTTGATACAGCATCCTCTTGATTAGTCTCAGGTTTTATACTATTTAATACTGATAATTTATCTTGTTCTGTGCAGAAATTATCCCACCAGCCTTTCAATTGTCCGGTGAATCCCTGAATTATGGCTATAGCTGCTGATTTATCACTACAACCCTTAGACTTATGGGCAGTAGCTGCCATAGTCATTTGACAAGTTAGGTCTAATATGGCTTGTTCACTTAATCCATCTAAATTCCACTTAGTTATATCATTTCCTGAAAAAGAGTTTTGTACTAGTTCCCCTCTTTCCTCAAATTGTACATCTGCGAAAGTGGGTCTAGAATAATAATTCCTAAGTTTTGGATATGTTTTCATTTTATTTATTTCTATTGTATTTATAGAGGTACTTCCTATTTGTTCGATTTTTTTTTTAATTCTTCTATCTGTATATCCGTATTACTTTTTAATCTTAAAGAATCTAATTCTTTTTGTGGAACATTAAATAATTTATATATTGGTTTTACGGGTTCTTTAGAACTACTGGGAGTATCTTTTACAGATTTATTTTCTATTCTAATTAATTGTTTAGACATTACTTCTAATACCGTATTAGAATAATTTAATTGCGAATGTAATTTTTTAATATCTTTTAATTGTACAAGTTTTTCTTCATTTTTGACATCTTTATAAGGACTTGCTTCTATTTCTAAATCTTTTATAGGTTTTTATAATAATTCCTTGTTATGGAGGTTATTCGGATGTTATTATTTCATTATTAATAGTTTTCCATGTATTACTTATTTTTTCTAAAGGATATAAATTCTTTTCTTGATCTGTAACTAAAAAACCAATCAAAGAAATATAAATTTATTTCATTTTCTTCTAAATAATCATAAAACTCTTTTCTCGTATTCTTCTGTTTGTTGTTTAGTAAATGTTTTAAAATACCATTCTCTATTTTGTTTATTGTATTCTCGCTTCAAAATCTTGTCTAATCCAATTTTTATCTATAATGAAGGTGGCTTCTCGTTGTATCGTATTTAATATTTGCGAGGCTGTTGAAGAGTATTGAGGGGCTTCTGTACCCCTAGACTCTTCATATACGGGTTTAGATATTCTAGGAGTAATATTATTTAATTCTCTTAAATCTAAA